AAGTATTGTAATGAAAAGGGGAATTCCAAAGTAATTCCTGTTTTTATGGAAATACTTACGAGTAATATCATAATTCCCACCCTCCTTCCCCACATTGGGAAACTTATTTTCCGAAAGTGTTGAGCAACGCTTCTAACAAGGACAGGCATCTTGGAGTGGTAGGGTTACAGGTTATGGTTTAGACATTGAGGAAGTTGCATGGTTAGCTTCAGATTTATAGAGATCGTGGACGCCATCTGAGCGTGGCGCCACCCGCCACGGACGAAAGTGGTGTGTTGCCCTGAGCCCAGCGCGGTGTGTAGCGCTAGAACCATATGGCTGGGAAAATCTTTACGCTTTGTTTCCTGGTTTCGGGGTAACAAATTTCGTGGTATTTTGTAAGTTTGGCTAGTATGGGCAAATTGAAAAGAACTCATGATATTACTCGTGAGTATTTCATAAAAACAGGAATTACTATGGAATTCCCCATTACGCGAATGGTTTAGTGTCAAGAGTTAATTCCCTTCATCCCCGCCAAGCAGACGACATGTAGACTATTTACACTTCCGGCTTTTCCGTAAACAATGTTTTTTGCTGTCGGATGTACGCCTCTTTATAAGGGAAAACGAACATGTTACTTCACCATTATCTTCGATATGGACGACTTTATTCACTGGGACAATTCCGATTTGGATTTAGACTTACTACTTGGCGAATATACAGATTGTGACACTGAACGTCTGAGTGGACGAGGATTGCTTTGGCGGTGATGACATGTATTTTGACAGATCTGAAGATGACAAAGCTCCATCACCACCTCTCCTAATCATCACGCAATATGCTTGTCCAATTGGCAGTAAAACCTACCGGAGTATTGGGGCTTTCGTGGTCATGTTACCAAGAAACACAACAGATCAGATATTAAAGGTAAGCATTCAATTTATACAATATATCAGAGTATATATATGTACCATATGAGGTACCGAAACAATCTCCGATTTGTTAAATCAAATAATGATTTGCTAATGTCTTAAGGCATCTTCAATATTTACAAAATGTACACAATTTTAACACATTTCTTCCAACAGTGACACTGATCATACATTGATCAAACTATACACATTTCTCAGATAGATACGTACATGTAGTTTCATCCTGGTTGTCACCATTAGCATGTTTCACTTCACATTAGTGAAAACAATAATAAATGTGAATGATTTATCTCAGGCCACCATTTCTTACCGGTAATTCCACTATTTCCTTCATATTAACTGTATACCTCAGCAACTGCCATGAGTTAACATACTTTCTTTTAAATTCAACACAAATTATATATTGACTACCTGTGGTGAAGTCCAATGAAACTCTCACATTAATGCTATGTCATCAGTCAATATGCATCACTTGAATATGTCAATACTTTTTGCATTTTAGCACATGAACATCGACTGGGCTCCACTGTCAAAAACAAAGACAACCCCCTTCAGCAGACAGGACAGATACTCACAGTAAAGAGGAAAACACACTAGTTTTCTTGCCAACAGATGTCGACATCGCGGGGTATTCTTACAGAAGTCCTACCAAAGTCTTTTTCAATAATCCTTGATCCTATGAACGATGCTTCATGCTCATTGAAGGGCCCCCTCATCTTGTTGCTGTTGCAAAGAATGGCCAGCGACAGACCAACAGTTCACAGAACTCTAGTATCAGTTCTGAACCCGGAATTCCATTCAGTTTTTGACAAGTTTGGAAAAGGTTGTTCCCTTTCGTCTGACAGAGAACAGTTATGGATGAAATTTCATCAGATGCGACTTCATGAAGACTTACAATCAGACATTCACAACATTTTGATCGAAGTAACAAGTGAATCACACAGGATTATCCACATTTTGCACAGTGCTTGTTGGATCGCATCTTGAGGAACATGCTAAAGCACCTGTCAGAATCCATTCAGAAACAGTCGCATCAAACAGCATCAGCAATCAGTGACAATGACCAGGCAGTGTTGTACTATATGTAAATCGTTTGAGACTATCTGATTGCTGATCGACTATCTCGCCGATCACGCGAGAAGTGAGCCAGAGTATGCGAGAGGAAGCCATATTTGTTTCAGGGTCAGTGTGCCGTGGAAGTGTGAAATACCACGCATGCGAGATTGGAAGAGTAAAAGAAGAATTTTAACTACCAGAATTTTGTTGTCTGTCAATGGCAGCAGAGCGTGGTTTCAACGAATCTGTTGTTTCCACCCCATATGAAGTCATCAACATGTGATATTGCTGGAATATTGCTGAAGTGACGTAAAACCATGCTCACTCTCTCACTCACTCACTCACTCACTCACATAAAACTGAAAGTCAAGTGATGAAAAAGAAGTTTGTTGTGATGATAAGAAACAGTCAAGTTGGGAAGACATTGATCTTGGTGGTCTTGAGACAATGAAAGATCAGAGAGAGACAAAACAGGGTGTAAGTAAGACCAAACTACAAGAATGATGAAACAATTGAAGTCATGACAGCTAAAACTATCAGCAAGGCTGGGAAAGCCACAGGAAAGAATAGATTTTGGTTTAATGTTGAGTATACTGATCCAAAACAATATTTAGGTGTTCAGCAATCTCTAGATGGAAAACTGAAACTGCTGACACACTCTGATGCCTCCTTAGGAAATCTACAAAATGGAGGGAGTCAGGGATCATATGTGATCTTCTTGATGAATGAACAAGGAAAGGTGTCGCCAGTATGCTGGAGTTCAAAGAAACTGAAACGAGTTGTGCGCAGTACTCTTGCAGCAGGGACATTAGCAATGGCAGATGCAACTGACACAGCAATATATATGTCAACATTGTGCGCTGAAATTGTATCCGAAAAGGTGAGCAATCAGAAATGTTGTCGATTCTGTGTTTGACAGACTGTATGTCAGTATGGGAAGCTGTTCATTCCAATACATCTGTGACCGAAAGTTAAGAGTGTTAAGAGTGGAAATAGCTGGCATCAAGGAACTTCAAGATGAGGGATGGTTCAGATTAAATGGGTGAATCAATCTGAACAGTTGGCTGACTGCATGACAAAGAAAGGAGCTTCACCAGTTCAGCTTTGCAAGCTCTACAAGAAGGCTATATTAATATAGTGACATAAGGCTGTGAAGAAACTGTGAAAGTGAAGAGACTACAGTGTTGTGATATAGTGACTGTAAAATAACAATATATATATCACTGAAGAGAATGTTGTCATGGTAAGAGACAGATGTAATGAGAACTGTGACTGTGGATGTCTATACCAAGATGAGGACTTTTATTATGTGTGTTCTAAGCAGTTTTAATATATTTCAAATTTTATAAAAAATAGTTGAGATTGCAAATCGTTTGAGACTATCTCAAATTCGATCATGAGAAGTGAGCGAGTATGCGAGAGGGAAGCCATATTTGTTTCAGGGTCAGTGCGCCGTGAAAGTGTGAAAAACCACGCGCTAGATTGGAAGAGTAAAAGAAGAATTTTAACTACCAGAATTGTGTTGTCTGTCACTATATATCTGGATACATACTGCATGCTCTATTGAAGAAAGAGGCTATCTTTGGAATGGATATAGAGCACTACTACTGGGACAAGTTACTCTCCTGTGAGGATGGACTGAAGCTCAGAGTCTTGGAGTTCATTGTGGACTTATTTCTCCGTGTACGTGGAGGTGCTGTAGCTAAATACTCAAAACGTCAGCTCCAGAAGGAAATGAGGGGGATTAAGAATCGCAAAGGAGTTAAAAGGAGCAGATCGCTCAGGGGAACATTAAAGGAACATGGGAACACAAACTAGATTGTACTGTGAGAATATTATGTATTTACAATAACTGTTGTAAGATTATTGAAACACCTGATGCTGAGTCGCTGTACCACAATTAACCTTTCAATGTCATCAAGGGGTGTCATCAACAGTTACCCTGGCTACGGTTGCACCCCTCTTCTGTGAAATATTGCCTCTGATAGGTTGCAGAGCTGATGAACCTATAACTTTCATCTCAGAAATCATGTGCTTAACGTTGTACACTGATGGATTGTCATTTGCCCCTCCTTTTTGCCTATACTGGCCAAACTGCTCCTCAAGTGGGTCCTGATTGAATCTATGGGTCAAGACATATTCAGCACCATTAGTTAATAGGTATCTAACACATTCTACAATTAACTTAACAATGTCTGATGACTGGATGATGTCACCTGGACGCCTCATGACACTCTCCTCCCATGACTTGAAAAATTCCAGAAAATTGTTTACTAAATAATCCAACCGAGGATCATTAACATCCCTGTATTCTTTCTTGTTTGAATTTCTGGACATAACTCCTTCTCTTAAACTTCTTGTGTTTAAACAGTCAAAGAACTTGTCCATGTGTCTTATGAAGTTAACAGTTTCTTTCACTTCGTCTCCATAGTGTTCCTCAAGGGCATTACTTACAGTTGTACTGAACACCTCTGCAGCTAGATTGACTTTCATTGTTGAAAATGATGTCAAATCAATGTGGTCCCTTGTAAGTTTGTACGTTTTACAATAAAGTGAGTTCTCCACAAATTGTTCATACAGTCTCACAATCTGCAACCAGCTTATATCAGTAACCATCTTTCCACAGCTGTCTGGACATACTGTGAGAGCCTGAATTAGCAAAACAATTCCTTGTGGTTTTGAGCAGATGAGGCACATCTGATATGAAATATCATTTCCGTTTTGGAAATGAATATGGATTCCATGTCCAGTAGGTATTACCCTGTTGTGGAACATGATGCAATTCAAAAATTTCCTAAATGGGGTGATGAAGATAGGCATCAATCCAATGTTCTCTAGCGTTAGAACAGTTTCCCATAATATAGAGCATAAATATGACGCTTCAATACTTCTTGTGGCAAAAGCTGCATAATGGATACCGATGATCTGTTGTATACTTAATCCTTCTGATACTTTACTTCGTCCTGCAAAATGCCAACATAGGATTTAACATCACTCTCCAGCATGCCAAAGGCCTTTGCTTCCCTGCATCAGGGGCGGTATTCATAAAGCTTCTAAGAATTTTCTTAGTTTTTTACTTAAGTTTCCTTAAAAATTCTTAAGTTTAAGAAAAATTCTTAGTTTCTTTATTAACCCAAACTAAGAAAAAATCTTAGCTAAAAATGTTCTTACAACTTAGAATCTTCTAAGAAGAAATCATAAAGCATGATGGGATCGTACGTACCGGTATTAGTGGTACACGAATGACGTTTCGGAAAACCCCAAGTCTAATTTTAGTAACGGAAACGAACTCTTCAGCCGAAAAGATAGGAAAACCTTTTAAGGCAGACGACAGCAAAATGGAACCACCGACAAAAAAGTCAAGAAAACCTAACTGGACGGAGGAGCAGAATTTGCTTCTAACCCGCCTTGTGGAGCAAAACAAGAGTCTCTTACTAGGCAAATTTGGCGCGGGTGTAACAGCACAAAAGAAAAAGGAAAAATGGGCAGACATATGCGCTGAAATCAATTCCACCTTCCAAAGTGAGTGACGCTTTTATTTTATTAAAAAAATGTTTCAGCAACTAAATAACTGATCTTTAACAGAATGAATTGATTGATTTATTGAAGCAGGTTTGAAATATTGATAATTAATGCATTTCTTTAGCCAATTACTTTTGAGAATATTCCATCATTATGTTTATAAAAATCAAATATATGGTTGAAAGACATCAATTTGACATGAGTTTTCAAATGAATTTGAATTTTCCTCTCTATCGACGACGCTCATATATCCACACTGTTGCTGTACATTTCCATACACTCATTTCAAATAATTATAAAATTATAAAATGTTCATGTCTCATTTAATTGATTCTTGCTGTATTGATGTTTCCATCTTTTCAATATATTAAAGCACACTTTTTCTGGCCAATTGTAGTTTCTATCATTGTAATTATTGTGCCTTCATTCATTTGGAAATGTTGAATTATGATGAGTTATAAATCCATCGGTTTTCACTCAAAACATTAGATGATTATTTTACAGTAATGTAATTACATCATTGATCCATGAATTGTGTGTATCCAGGTTTGTGTGTATCCAGGTTTATGACAAAATAATACAATATGTACAAATAAAAGTGTAAGAGTGGATATTTATTGTAACAAAATAGAGCATATATTGATAACTTTCATGTTTTTCTAGATGTAACTAGATCTGTGGAAGAGGTGGAGAAGAAGTGGCACAATATTCAATCCAAAGCCAAGTGTGACATATCAGCCTATAAAAGGTCAACAAGCACCACAGGTAATCATGAAATAACAGAAGTGAAATGTAACACATGGAAGTGGAAAAGGAAACAGTTAGACATCTATTATTCATACTACACCACTCAATCACTTAATATATGTTATGTATATTTATGAAACTGTTTGTGGTTGAATGATAATTTCTAAAGTTACTTAAATATGTGTAATGTAATACTATTTTGGCAAATCAAATATACATTTTAATGAATTATATTTATTCAGATGCACTTTCATATTTATACATTTAATGGTTTTCCTTTAATAAAACATTGTCATAAACAAAACTCAATAAGCATTTTACAAAAATAAATTATTATCTGTCTCTTTAATCTGAATTAGTATATATATGTTTAATAGGCATTTGAAGTAAAAACACAAGACTTTTCCTGCGAAAATCCTAAAACTCTTGAATCTGTTCATGGTGATTATCAATTTGATATGTTTAAAAAGGAGGTGGTCCATCCTGCACCCCCCTGTCAACAGTGACGGAAGTGGTTAGGGACATCCTGGGCGATGACAATATGGTCATTTCGGGGGTCCCGAACAGCACTGACTCCAGCATGCTGCAAGTACTGGCGATGTCACCCAGCTTTGAAGCCAACAGGTATTTATTTTCTGGTCATCATATGATATTTCCCTGAGTTAGTACAATAACATGTTATGTTACTCATTGCAAACAGGTAGTTTCATGGGGAAAACATACAAATATACACAAATTAATATAAATAGTGGACTTTGATATTTCCACAAGTGATGCAGCTCATATTTGGAGAAATGAGATACACATGGCATTTGACATTTATTTATCATATTATCATATATGCAATACCCCCAAACTGAGAGTGACATGGCTTTGTTAACAAATAACAGATTAAGAATCATTAAATCAAAGTCCCTTTTGGACTATTGGAAGATTTTGAATAAATCTGATAGGATTAACAAGACAGATAGCAACACTGCAACACTTATAGATTTCTGAGCATTTCAGAGAAATTAATGTGATAATATTGAGACAGTTAGCTAAATGACTTTGGCATGGGAGATAACTCTGTATTGAATCAGGACATAAGTTAAGATGAAATCATTAAAACCATTAAAAACATGAAACAACGATATTACTACCCAATTTTATTTTCCTTGTATGTAAATGACTGAAAAGATTATCTTTCCATGGATGTAAGGGTTTTGAATTAGCTAATGAAGCCATTGCCATATGTAAAACTGTAATTATCATAAAGTATGCTAATGACACAGAAATGTTTGCTGATAATGTAAAGGACGTTACAAACAGTTTAGAAATTATGGTTTTTGGATTAAGATGCATGCAATATAATATTTCATCAAAAGGTACAATGCTTGAAACTGAACCAATAAAAATATTTGAGTGTTATTTTTATGAATACTGATAGATTTGCAACAGCCAAGTCAGCATTAGTGACACATCCAAAGAAAGCACTCCATTTGTAGCTGATCAGACAGTTGGTCCTATTATTTTCTAAGGCTAGTAAACAGTTATTATGGTTACTCGGACCAATGGCATAGTAGGACATTTATTTACGACATGACTAACAATTTCTGTTTTTTTTAACAGATTAGACACTTTCAGTGAGGTTGATCTGAGGAGGCTGGATTTCTCCGGGGTGCAGGTCCCAGTCATGCCGACAACAGTGAGCGAGCCCCTAGTCAGAGTGTGTCCACCAGTCTCAACTCCAACTGCTCCATCCTCAAGCTGTCATACTTGCCAGGCCTCTGCAAAGGAACATGCAGAATCAACGATTGAAAAATTAAAACTGGAAATTGAAGTTCTCAAACTAAGGAAAGCAGTCTTAGTGAAAGAGCTGAAAAAATACTGGGAGGAGTAAATTTTGCACATGACTTTCTCGCACTAATGCTAATGGGGCAGTAATGATTTTCATGTTATTTCACCGATTGTGTAATTTTATGTGAATTTTGGGGTATTTTGTCCTTTCAGAGTTATAAATTTGTCTTACTGATTGTGGAAAACTATTCATCTCATTCTTTTCATATTTGCCCAAGCCTTCCGCACTAATGATAGAGGTACAGTGCCAACTTTCAAGTGATTATGCCAGTTTTTAATTTTATTTGAATTTTTTTATATTTGGACTTAGGCATTTTTGAGATGTGAAGAATTTTTCAGATTAGAAAAAATATTCATCCCAATGTTTTCATTCAATCTTTTTGTAATCCAGTAGTGTTGTGTTACTTTACAAAATTGATAACGTCTTAGTCTATAGAACTATATGTATTCTTAGGAACCTACTACACTCATGAGCTTAAGTACACCATTCAAGTAGTCAGCATGCTGAGGGTCGGGGTGTTAGTGAGCCATTAGATTAACAATTTGCATGTTCTTAACACCTTCAAGAGAATATGTATTTACTAGTATGTAAAGATGCTAATATCAGAGTCTATACAGCTATGAACATATATGTATATTGGTTTATAGTCTTTGATTATTCTCTTATTTGATTTGGGCCAATTTCAAAGAAACTTACACGTGATATTGGAAAGAAAGGATCAGCAAATCCATTCACAAGGACACAAGAATGTATATCTTTGTAGAGTATGTTTATCCATTTTTTTTATTACTGGGCCAGAATTGAATTTGTAAAATTCAGAAGTAAAACCATCAGGTACAGGACTTTTTGCTTCTTTTTCTTGTCATTATAACACTCTAATATAACCTGAATATAACTATTATTGTCACAACATTTCATTTTTAATGACACTGATGTTTTAGGATCAAAATGAAATTTTGATTATTGGGTTGTTGTTTTTACATTCTAAAGTTGTTTGAGAAGCAACAATAAACTTTTTGTGGACCACATCAGAGTTTTGTTATAATGTACTCACATGAGAAATGTACTCTTGCAAACTGATCTCTGTAAGCAACACCTGAAGTCACACTGCTGCTGCTTGGTGTGGGGGGATGTGGTAGCGTTTCTGGCTGTGGGGTGCCTGGGGGAATGTCATTGCTTTCTTCTGGGTCAGGGATGTTCCTGGTTTTACAAATGTTATGTAGCACAGCACAGGCCACAATCACCTGACAGGCTTTATGGGGACTGAGCCTCAGCTCAACATGAAGAGCATGAAATCGCCTTCTTCAACTGCCCGATTCCCCTTTCAACGATGCTGCGGGTTCTCTTGTGGGAACTGTTGAAAAATCAAATTGCAATAGGACTAGAAAAAACACATCAATAATTTAGCATGCATTTCACACAATGAAACAATTCAATATACCTGCAAAGCACTTACATATCAATGTGACATCATGAATTGATAATATGGCCACGCGGTAAATATGTTCTTGTGTCACATTACTGTTCCTTGATCACATTTTTGCTACACTAGAGAAACCTGTCATTACTAAAATGGACATGGATTTTTCCACTTCAGACCTTTGTTTATTTTTCTTTGAGGAAAAGGTAAAATGCTCATTCAAGATGACCCCAAAAATATAATAATCAATACAAATTAAAACTAGTTTGCCTGACCAATAGTATCTTTAAACAGTGATATAAAGCAGGACTTTTGTATGGCCTCCAGTTTATATTGTCTAGTAAAGAAACATCTATATGTATCCTTGTGAACACCAATAAATGCATTGTACTGTATTTTTATCACGCTCAGGTATTATTCATGGGATAACAAAATGCATATGAGTAAATGTTCCAAAAATTGGTAAGGGTGTCTCATAAATAATTTTGACAATTCAAAGTTGAATATACAGACATGTGGAAAAAACATATTTCTTCAAATCATAATGGAATTCTATTGGCGTGAAATGTCTAATAAAGCTTTGACAATATACTGACTCAGTAATAAATCAATTACACTCAAATTAAACACTGGATTGTATTCATTTTATTTGAACAAGTTCACATTTCATTTCGAGATCATAATTTTGCAACAACCCATTTCAACTTTTGACATTCCTAAAATAAGGGAAGTAAGTCTAATTGAATTAACTTACCGGTTATACGCAAGTTGGTTAGCGTTGTTCGGCCGGAGGTATGGTGTCAGAAGCCAAGTTTTTGAGGGATACCCACTGTCTCCTAATAAATGAAAGTTGCCTGGTACCCTCCTTGTTTCAAAGAGAACTTGGAGGCCACTTTCTCGGCGATCCGTGCATCATGTGTTGATCCTGGCCACTTGGCGGCGGCGTCCGGTAATCCCGTATCGCGATCAAAACTAGTTGGGTGTTGATTGAGTGGTAGTGTTTTCGGTTCACAAGCGCAGGTTCGCTTCACGCGTGTGGTGCGATTATTTGAACATGTGTCCCATCAATGACACCGCCACATTTGGGAAGTTTGCAGCGTGGAGCGAACTCATTAAGCGTTATCGGTTAATTGTCTTTGACACAATGGAAACGAGACAAATCTCTGCACAATATGAGGTGCATTTAGAGCAGCTAACGTCCTGGCGCTACAGCCCGACTTACTGTTGATTGTGAAATATCCATGTCATCTGCATTGCAAAGCTGCATTTTGCCTGTAGCCAAAAACCTCAATGTTACAAGCACTTTGTATAGGGCTGGTAAGGACCGGTTTCTAAAGGTAAGTGCATCGATTTCATCCGATATCAAGCCTGTCACAAACTCTATCCCTCCTCTGTCAAGACGATAACGTCGTAATAACTCTCTGTCGGTGTACATATCAAAACATTCTTCCTAGTGTGAAAGTTTGCGTTTCCGCGGAGCAGCCATATTGGATAACTAAGAATTTTCTTAACTAGTTAGGTGTCCTCATGAGGTTTCTTAAAGTTAAGAACAAAACTAAGAACAAAATTACTTGTCTAAGTTTTTTCTTACAAGTTAAGAACGTTGTTATGGAAACTAAGAATTCTTAGTGGATTTAAGAATTCTTAACTCTTAAGAAAATTCTTAGAAGCTTTATGAATACCGCCCCAGATGTTTAGCATATTCAGGATGGAATCCAAGAATACTGGGCAAAGAATGGGAATTATCAAATAGGGTTCTCTTGCTTGGCAATTTTATAAAACCTGTATGCCATGCAGCATCATAAGCTTTTCTGCTCTTGCTCCGCAAGTAAAAGACACCATTTGATCACCGTAGGGTGCCATCTCATTGAACGCTTGTCGGTTAGGTTTGAATGCTTCACTTGTTGTTCCCAAAATAATCTTTGCAGAGAGTTTCATCCGGATAACTTCTTTGTACCTCGGAGCTGTATTCTTTCAGCATGTGTCTCAAGTCCTCATCGCTAGTAGTATTTAGTTTTAGTCCTTTATTCCCAATTGTATGAAACACTTTCCTTTTCAGTGACCTAATTCACTCTTAAGTGCCTGATTGTGAGTTTTAACAGCTTGAAATTTGTTCACAAGTTCCATTTTTGTCATGTGCTTATGTGTCTTATGAGACAGTTTGTGAGGGTGTGGCTGACATGGTTTAGGAGATAAGCTATTGCGAGACAGTACTTTCCTGAGAGTAGAAAGGTACCTACAACAATGCTCGCGCATCTCGTTTTCCCCAAAGCTAGCTAGCTGATCGAATGGTTGAGCTAAATTCAATGCCGTTCATGTTTACACCAAAGTCACATTCTCTATATGCTGATATGCCATAAGCAGCTGCCTGACTCAACCCAACACCTATCGGAACAAGATGGCTGTATTTGTCTTCATAATTTCCAAGGCAGACATGGTAAGACGACAGCCTTGACAGAAGGTTCTTGACATCTGTGAGAGTTGAAAAGAACTTGGGCAAACCAATCCAAAAATCATGATCATGTCCAATTTTCTGTCTGTGAACAGAGATAGATGCCATCAGTGATGGTGTGATTGTCACTGCCAGTTTTACAGCTAAGTCAGAACCCTCATAAAACTGAGCTAATTTTATCACATCCTCTTTTGTCCGAATACTTGTGAAGTCTCCAAGTTGGTCATACTCTTCAAATAAAGTATTTTTCAAACATGCGTATTGTTGGTATCTTCTGTGATGAAGTATGCCAGTGACAACGCTCGAGATTGTCATCAGGGTTGTACTGGTGCATTTTGCCCACAAAGGACATAAAATGCATCAGCAGAGCAGTTGTCAGAATCTGTTGATGCACCATGACTGTGAGATTCACTTGCAACTGCTTCTTGGTGGTGTTCAGCAGGACAGATGTAAAAAGCTGCCCAAGCTTCAGCCCACTGTAGTTGTCTAACACTGAAACAAAAATTAAGATATTAAAATATAATCATACTACTCAATTTATAAAGATTTCCAAACACCAAACATTTTTGCATATTCATGGATGTTTTACAACATTTACCCATAAAGGTCCGGGTTAGAATATTGACCAAGCTTGTCGTTAGAGGCGATTATTTGCAGACCGCGAATCACTGTGTATTATCTAATCCATAATGATTGTCATGCACACAGTACTTACATATTGTCATCAAATATTCCTGGTAGACATGTTGTGTTGTCATGAAGTGTGGTCGGTGAAGCTGCATCCCTTATAGTTGATTGTTGATCCACACTTTTAGACTTAGTGCCAGAACGCTTAGATCGCCTTCCAATGCATCCTTTTTTGTATCGTGGCATCTAAAAGAACAAATAATCAAATGCAAGCTAAACATATACTTCTACTTTACATGATCACACCCAGTTTTCACTTAACGTCAGTACAGTGGAATATTTAGTATACAGAACATACATTTACAGTACAGTGACTCAAACTGTGACAAGGGAAATAATATGAACATATGGAAGCAAATAATATGGTAATAAATTTGAAGCCCGAACAATATTCATTCAATTTGTTTTGATATTGAAAATCGCTGATTTTAACTAAAGGACAATTGCTAAGCGATATTCTAAAACGTTTCAGCGTGGTCTAGT